TGTCGGGGGAATTGGCGTTTTCTCCGAATAGTTTGAATCCAAATGTCATCTCATGCTCATGCGCGAAAAGTCACTTCATTCATTCGCTGTTCGAAGGTGCGTAATCATTTGAAATTTGTAATGGATCCAAATAATTTATTATTAATTCTAAATATAATGAATAATTTGCAAGCTGCAGAAATTGTAAACCATCCGCGACAACATTAATTAAACCATTTAAAGTTTCAGCAATATCTGACCACTGTTTTTGGGCCTTTTTGTGAGTGAAAGTAGAAGAAAACTTTCATTTTAAAAAGTTCTTCGTTGTTTCTAAGCATATTAATTTCTTTTTTGCGCTTTCGACGTGAACGAACGCTTCATCATAATTATAATAATATTAAATTTTTTGTGTTTTCAAATATACTTCTATTCAAATTGAAGTTATATTAAATTACTACGAATATCATGGAGATGTCTAGTCTCCCTGACGAATATAATGACATTTACAAAACAAACTTCAAAATCAAATCAAGTGACTAAACATCAGGGTCGCCAATAATGGCACTGAAATATTGAAGAAAACTCTGCCCGCTGATTGGTCAGTTGCAAATATATCCTCGACATACGGCATAAATTAAATTCTCTAGAGAATTGGATTCCTTCAACGTTCAAAAATAAGTGTTTAAGTTTTTAAGAGAAATTTGTCAGGTGAATTTTTTCTCTGGAGAATCAGTTCTCCTGTTTTCAAAAATCAAGCCCCTGGTTATTTCTACACTAAACGTTTTCTCTTAGGACTTTTCAGGTCGCTGACTTTAATTACGAACCCATTTACGCCACTTCTCTCAATATACCTTACAAAGTACAGAGTGTCGCTATTTATGAATGTGAAGTACATAAATAAAGCACAAAGTACCCACTGATAACAGGCCGGCGTGTGAACGCCACTGCGTCGGATTAAAATTTACATGACAATGCTTACCTGTGTGTAGATGTCAATGTCCTTGTAGGGGTTGACTGCCACAAGGATTGTGCCGGTGTACGTCTAAATCTAATTAAGGAAAACAATGGTTATTTTTTGTGGGAGACATGGCTAGAACCAGTCAAATCGAATGACGCGGAAACGTAATGCAACAGTGCAACTGCATCTATCGATTCGTGGTGGATGAAAGTAATTATTTTCCATTGTTAGTTATTAGTTACATACTGGTCGCTCAAACTATTAAAGAAAAACATATCTTTAAGCCATATCTGCACAACGTTGCTGAGCTCTGTACATTTTAATTGTTCAAATTACTTACAGAATATAATCATACCATTTACAGAATTAATAACTAATAATGTTACATTTACGAGTACATTTTAGAATAACCAGGGGGCAACTTTATTTTTAAATAGTGTACATGATGTCCCGAAATTCATGCAACTAAATTAGGTCACAAATTCTTAAGACAAATTTCGGGGACCAGTATTTTTTATTTCTGCCAAGTGGCTCCCTCTTTCGGAGTTACAAACCACTGAAGTCCGCCCCTAAGAATAATCTTTTTTTATATCTCAGAACCCTGTTGTACGAAAATCACTAAATTTGGTACACAGGGGTTTTATGACATGTGGAATCTGATGGTGCTACGTTTTTTGGCGAGGAACCCCCTGAAGACAATTTTTCGTGGGCCCCTTTGGAGCCAAAAAAATTTAGTCGCAAATTTAAATTTCTTAAATATTATGAGTCCACTAGAAAGCCATTTTATTTAGAAACTTTTTTTCTCTTTATACTTTTTTCGTAAAACGCAATGTTTTCGAAAAAAATCTCAAAATGTGATCGAATGCATATCGTGATTCGCAATTTTCCTCAAATACATTGCTTTTTACGAAACAAATATAAAGAGAAAAAAGTTTCTAAATTCAATAGCTTTCTAGCTCTAATTAAAAAAAAAAATTAAATTTGCGACCAAATTTTTTTTATTCCAAAGATAAGGGGGCCCACGAAAAAGTGTTTTAAGGGGGTTTCTCGACAAAAAGTGTAGCACTGTGAGATTCCACATGTCATAAAATCCATGTGTACCAAATTTAGTGATTCTCGTACAACATGGTTGTGATATAAAAAAGACTTCTTAGGTACAGATTTCAGGGGGCTGTAACTCCGAAAGAGGGGGTCAGTTAGCAAAAAGAAAAATGCGAGTCCCCTAAATTTGTCTTAAGAATCTATGACCAAATTTTGTTGCATGAATTTCGGGACACCCTGTATATTAACAGTTATTTAAGGTGAGAGTGTAAAATGTTGTTATTTATTGCATGAACCGATTAATTACACAGCCCCACAAAAAGTTCTGCACCAGAGACAAGAGTACAAAGAAGTGTAATAGGTCCCATGGATTTTTTTGATCGACACATTGAGGACTATCATTCGGCAAAGTTTCGTACCATTCGACAGGGACCGGTTTTCCATAAGGATAGTTGCAGGGTCCTTTCGACAACGTCCATCGCTTTTTGCAATAATATTGCGCAATTTTCGAAAACTGATTTTTCTGCTTTCAACCTTTATTTTACAATTAACAAATTGTTGAAATGTGCCTTTAGGTACCTTAAATTGTAGGTAATTTAATTGTCTGCAACATAAAATAACTAATTTTGCGGTAGGTCGTCTAGATTTTCATGGTCAGTAGAAAAAAGTGAAAGAAACAGGTAATTTTGATACTTACTCGCAATTTGCAAATTTAGTGTCAATTCTTTCGAGTTCACTTTTTGATATTATCATTCTACATACCCTTCCCCGTCATAAAGTACAATAAAATGTATGCTAATAATTTTTTTACGTGCAAACTCTAATTCGACTAGACTAGTAGAAGAATCAACACAAAACCAAATTGCCATATACAAAATTTTGTCGGAGCTACCGATGCAATCTCAAACAAAGCCATTGTCGCTACTGAGAAATTATGAATTGCCTAAAATTTTTATTGAAAATTGTGTTAATTGCAAAGTAGGTGATACTGTTGTTTAGACTCTTAAAAATGATTGAATTCTTAATAAAAGGCAAATTCACTAGAATTTATGTAAAAAACTCACATTTGACATGATAGTAGATAAAAAAATATTTTTGTATTATTGTCTAAATGATATCTACAATCAATTTTACAAAAAATAATGTACAAAAAGTAAAATAACGGGTCTTGCATTAAGCGCTTCCTAACTTTAAATTTAAATAAAACAAAGTGTGTGTGAGATATCATCGAAATTTATTATTCGTTTGAAAGACCTATTGATGCCATTATGTGTGGAATATAACATCGTTCAAATGTCCGTCACGGCTTCTCTGGATGGAGCGCAACCGAAATGTCCAATTGTCCATGAGTCTGGCGCATAAATCAGGCTGAATTTGATCGATGGCATGAGTTATGTTGGCTTTGAGGACCGCTGTGGTTTGTAGCTTATTCGCATACACCTGCGACTTAAGAAAACCCCACAAGAAAAAGTCTAACGGGGTCAAATCGCACGATCTCGGTGGCCAGTTCACATCACCTCCACGTGAGATGACCTTGCCCTCAAATCGCTCGTGCAGAATATCCAATGTGGCATGAGCTATGTGGCACGTAGCGCCGTCCTGTTAAAACCACATGTCGTTGGTGTCCAGATCATCCAATTTAGGCCAAAAGAAGTTGGTAATCATCGACCTATAGCGCTCGCCGTTGACAGTGATGGCCTGGCCAATGTCGTTCTCAAAGAAATATGGACCGATGACGCCGCCAGCCCAAAATCCACACCAATTAGTGACTTTTTCAGAATGCATTGGACGCTCTTGGATCTCATGTGGATTGGTATAGTCCCAAATTCGACAATTTTGTTTGTTCACGTACCCATTCATCCAGAAATGGGCCTCATCGCTAAAGATGATTTTTCGATGAAAATTAGGGTCAGTTGCCAACTGCTCCAGAGCCCATTCAGCGAACACACGTCGTTGTCTATGGTCGTTTACCTTCAGTTCCTGGGTCAGTTGAATTTTGTACGGATGCAGGCCCAAGTCACGACGCAAAATTCGCCAAGTTGTGGTCTGCGAAGGCCAATTTCTTGTAAGCGACGCGAAATCGACTGCCTCGGTTTCTCCTGCACACTCTCACGGATAGTGGCGATGTTTTCGGCAGATCTTGTGTTTCGTTGACGTACGGGTGTTGGTCGATCGTTTACTGAACCAGTAGACCCAAATTTATCCACCACATTGCGAATAGTCCTCTCGGTACACGAACAGAACACCCATTTTGATAAAACAATTTTATTATTTGCACGTGTTGTTGAATACTATATCCGTCCATGGTGATTTGGCAAAACAGACTGAATAAATGACAACTAACTTGACAGATATAACTGCAACAAGATGGCCGTTATCAACTGTCAAAGTTCGGAAGTCCCTGTTGGAAGACCCATTATATTATTATTAAACATTGGACAATAGTTTGTGAACAAATATGTATTTTTGTGTAATAATTACACAATTTTTAAAACAATTTAATTCAAAATAATTCGTAAGTCTATCACAATCCACTACCTACACAAATTTATTAACATAGATCCATACATATTAGCACAAAGTATACCTACCACTTTTTATATTATTTTTAAGCCTATTTCGTAGTATCATTGTGTACAGTCGAAGGAAAGCATTACACATATTATTTCCTGTGCGTGACAATTACTAGGGCTGTTAGAACTGAGCCGCGAGACATAGGCGTACGCATTATTTATTAAAAAGCAACAAATTAAATTGTCTACAATACACCACCATAAACACCAACGGATAAGAATTAGTTACGCAATGATAACAAAGCAACAGTATACTAACGTGACATGAACGTGAAAAGCATTCTGAGGCAGTGGCTCACGCATGTCTCGGTTGACCTGCTTGGCACGCCATTCAATTGCGTCTCCCTGTCTGACAGCCTCAATAATTACGTATTTCATTTGCCAATAAAAGTATAGTTCCTAAAATATTTTTATAATTTTTGTTTGTACCAGTATATCATAATAATCTCACGTGTACTTAATGCAAATTACAAATCAATAGAAGGTGTTAAAAATCAAGATGTAGGAAATAAAGGTGAACAACAAACGTTTTATTACATTTAGTTACTGCTTGTTTAATAACAGAGATACTTAATTAAGTTTTAATAGGAACGCCGCGGTTTGGCTTCTTCACTACCAGCATTACAGGTTGTCTGCGTTAGCAAAACGCCGTCGCAGGACAATTATGATACCATAGGGGCTATTTATGTACGTTCCGTGGATTATATGTAGCAGAAAAACCCTCGGGAAGCGAAGCGTTCTAGTTTAATATATGGAGAACTGTCTCGACCGCCCTCAGGCAATTTAAAACTTATATTAGGTACCTACATGAAAAAAGGGTAAATTCAACGAGTACGTGTGGAAATCTAAAAGATAGAGGCAATTTAGATGTATCAAAAATGGAGTTGCAAGTTAATATTTAAAAAACGTGGAATCATTATAATCCAATTTGAATACGCCACGATGAGGTTTTCCAAGTATACAGGATGGCTCGAAATTAATGAGACTTAATGTAATGTGGCCAAACAATTAATTAAAAAATTGCACAGCCACATAAAAAAAGTTGTGTGTACTTTTCATGCGACATAGTTATCCGTAGTATTTTTGTCTCCTGATCACGAATCTGGTGTCAAAAAACAGGTCAAAAATAATAAAAATTTACGAAAAAGTGCTAGGAAAAGTACAAAAAAAATTTTTTTCTATATTTAAATTTTCATTTATATGGTTAAGACCCCGCCGAACTGAGTCCACGGTAAGAATTTATGGTTCTTTTTCTAACCTCAAAAATCGGGTCAGAAATCACGAATTTTCTAAATATAACAGAATAACAGATCTGAGGTCAATTTTGCAATACTCAAGATAGCGGATCCAAGATGGCCGATCCAAGATGGCCGACCAAAATTTCAAAAAATAACAGATTCGCGCCAAAGGACACCGCAATAATCTTATGGAAATTGGGTTTCTGTCAAATTGTCTGAATTTTTGATATGT